TGGAGGAACTGGAGCTATAGGTGGTGGAGCTACAACCGGAGCTGTAGGTGGTGGAACTGGAGCTATAGGTGGTAGAGCTACAACAGGAGCTATAGGTGGTGAAGCTATAACTGGAGTTGTAGGTGGTGGAGCTGGAGTGACTGAATCTCCAAAAGATGAAACTGGTAGTACCTCAGAAATATCTAAGTGATGATCCGAACCTGTGAAGTATGATTGGGTTTCAAAGAAGGTAATATCAGCGGACATAAGGTACCGTTGGAGGTCAGGAGAGTAGCATCGATACCCCTTTTGCGTTCTCGAGAAACCCAGAAATACGCACTTAAGAGCACGAGGAGCTAACTTATCTGTTCCTGGAGTAAGGTTATGGACAAAACAAGTGCTTCCAAAGATACGGGGTGGAAGAGAGAACAAAGGTAAGTGGGGAAACATGACAGAGAATGGAACTTGGTTCTGGATAGCTGAAGATGGCATACGATTAATAAGATAGCAAGATGTAAGAACTGCATCCCCCCAAAAACGCAACGGAGCATGAGATTGTATGAGTAGGGTACGAGCAGTTTCAATAAGATGTCTATTCTTTCTTTCAGCTACCCCATTTTGTTGAGATGTGTACGGACAAGATGTTTGATGAATAATCCCATGAGATTTCATAAACTGCTGAAATGGGGAAGACAAATACTCTCGGGCATTATCACTACGAAATGTGCGAATAGAAACCCCAAATTGATTTTGAATTTCAGCGTGGAAGGTCTGGAAAATAGAAAACAGCTCAGATCGATTTTTTATCAAAAATATCCAAGTGCACCTGGAATAATCATCAATGAAACTGACAAAGTAGCGGAATCCTAAGGTAGAACTGACCCGACTAGGACCCCAAACATCTAAATGGACTAAAGTAAAAGGTAACTCTGCTCGATTATCAAGACGCCGAGGGAAATGGGAGCGGGTATGCTTACCGAGCTGACATGACTCACACTCTAGAGCTGACAAGTGAGATAAACCAGATACCATTTTCTGAAGTTTTGACAAACTGGGATGTCCCAACCGTTTATGTAATAAATCTGGTGAATCAGTAACAGGACAAGTTGTAGAAGGAAGACAATCATTGTAGCTCGCCGGAAAATTCCAAAGTTGTCGGAATTTGTTGTAACCAGGATGGATAGACTCGGAATTCCTTTGCGAGCAAGCTGTCCTGAAGAATTATTTTCAAAGACCACACTGTCATGAAGAAGCTTCGCGAAAAAATGGCCGAAAAGTGGTCGGAACCCTCGCCGGAAAAGTTGTTGCCGGCGCGTGGAGGAGCGTGGCGGCTTTTCTACCGGATAAAATTTCAGGGGTTGGTAGTCGGAGGGTGATCTACCTCGTGGTGGTGTTGGTTTTAGCACAACACCGACAGTAAGTGACTTTCACTTAGACAAGCCTTGGGTCACTGGAAAAATTACACGATGACTAAGTTCTTTCTTCCCGGTTAACGCTGGAATGACGCACAGCGATCTTTTCTCACTAATGCTCTGATACCATGTGAGAAGGCACGGGAGAAATATGTTATTGATATTGGATGATAAATACAATACAAGAGGTCTCTATTTATAGCTATACACTACAAAGAGATATTACTCCTCTTCCAATGTAGGACAAGACTACACTACACATATCTATAAACTAACAGGGCCTAACTCAACCCCAAAAGCTAGCTTATGAGGTGAGGATTGCCCAAGACCATATAAGGAGACCAAGGACCTCAAATCCCTCCGATGTAAGACAACTCAACACATACTCTGAGTGTTATGGAGAGAAGAATAGCAGATTGATGGTGAAAGAAGACCAGTGCACCAGCTAAAGTATTTTTGCCCTTAGTCTTTGTTCTCATAGTTAGCAAGTGGCTATAAGTGATATGGATCAGATACAAGACCTTATCAATTCCCTACATTTCCAGTTATCCACAAAGAGGCAATTTGTAAATTTTCACGTACATTCTCATGACCACTTTCTTGGTGTTGATAATTAATGAAGTACCTTATTCTACTAATTTAATTTGATGTTAACCTTACTTGATTTAATAAAACTAATTTAGTATGTTGTTCTCTATCAAAAACCATTTTAAAGCACAGGAATCCCACAAAGTTAATTCTTGAGCATCATTCTGCAACAATTTGTAAAGGAAAATTTGGAATAAATAAAAAAAGGCATGTAAGTACATTTGCATAAGATCAACCTACAAGCATTAGAACATTAAACGTGGCCTGGCCTTCAGAAATATGGGTATCTATCTCTGATTGCATGTCTGGGTCTGCAAATATCAAACCACTCATCAAAAGGAGTTGCAGCAAGCAACAAGAGAAAGCTGCTTTTGAAAGTGGACAACTGAATCACATATTTGACAGTGAAAGCTAATTACCACATGTTATTTTGTTTTGATCATTGGCAAAAAGTCTGACAAGTTCCCCCTGACAATACCAAATATTAGCACAAAAAATCTACAAGATAATATGCATTAAAAAATTATTGTACGAACACACAAAACTAAGAAGAATAGATAGAAAACGATTAAGATCCATAACAAGATCATCTTTGAATTAGGAATGACCAAATAGACAGGATGCTCAACAAAAGACACAAAATCAAAATTAACGGCTTAATAATTTGAAGTATGGTTAAATTTTTATTAGATTATGTTATTGTAGAATCTCTGGTCATGTCAATTTTAGGTCTTAAAAGACAAAGATGCACTGTAAAACAAAATAGATCAACTCTGCTGGCATGTTCATTCAGGTAATCCTAATGAAAAGAGTAGATCAATTCTTTGGTACTTGACAAAGAATTCACAGTAGCACAAGTTGGGAAGACAATAGCTGGAATATAAAATTCAGAGGAGACATAAACGACTAGGAGCTAAATGAGATAAATGAATTCTTCAGTATACTACCTGTGTCTGCATGCCTAACACTAATGAAGACCGTTTGATATGTAGAGGCCACAACAAAGGGAATAATACTGTCAAGACATGTTACAACATATTCATGAAAGAAGTAAATCAGTTGCTTATTGGTCCCTGGAAGCAAATCTGAAAGTCAAAAGCTCCTATGAAAGTTAGTTGTTTTGAGTGATTGGTGGCTAAAAAGCTTGTTTGACTCAGGACAATTTACAAAGAAAGGGATTCCAGATAGTTAAAAGTGCTATATGTGTAAAGAGGAGGCAGAAACTATCAATCATCTATTCCTACAATGCACAGTTGTGGCAATTATTTTTGAACATTTTGGGAAATAAAAAGGTGAAGCCAAGATCTACCACTGAGTTACTGTCATGCTGGAATAAAAAGGGACTGTCAAACCAAATGAAGACGGATGGGAATACAATACTGACAGCTACTAGGTGGTGCATACGGAAAGAGAGAAATAGGAGATGCTTTGAAGGACAGGAGAATCCATTCTTGAAGATCAAATCAGACTGCATTTTGTTGATATCTTTTGGGTGTAAACAGGATTGGATAGATGATAGTGAAACCCTACTAGAATTCATGGATTCTTTAGTATAGACACACAGGGCTTTCTTTTTTACTCTTCTTTGGATAGGTTTATTAATTAATTTGAAATTCAAAGCGACTTGAAATCTGCGGAACAAGCAGTTTCAAAAGTCAAGTATTTCCTAAAGATACATATATTTTATAGCAAGGAGGTTGCATTATTTCCCCACTTTAATTGGTAGCACACAATTTCTTGTTAGTATAAATCAAAGTAGAATAAAATTTAAGGATAGGGAGAGCAAGATCAACTACCTGATGTCCCTGGTCATCCATCGGTATGCATTCAACAGCTATAAGTTTATCAATGTCATCAGCAGTAACTACATATTCAGGATTTGTGGCACCTGAAGATTATGAAAGACGACAGTCAAAAGTAGATGTTAAAGCTAAACAGTGGTGGTGTTTAAGGCAATCTATTTATTGTTGTACACTAAGACATAAAATAAATAATGACAAAGAGCCTTGAGAACCTCTGCATAAAGGTTTAGACTTACCCTCAATATACTGCCTTGTACCATCAGGATAATGACGGACCCACTGACATTTGGAAACGAAAGATTGGGAAAAACAATACTTTAGGCATCAGCGTGTAAAGCTCCCTTAAGGATTAAAATTGCATACCATATTGTAATTAAACATATATTACCTGGAACATACAAAGAGAAGTTCCACGTACAGGAAACCCACAACCCAAAATTCTGCATCCTGGTTTAGCTTCTCCGATTATTTGAAAATTTTCTATTCCAGGACTTTCCCCTGTATATAGAACTTCCCATTAGGAGCCATACAAGTCTATGCACCAACCTTAAAGACAAACAAATATGTTACCTTCTGAACTAATAGAACCACCCATCTCATTTCCCATACGAGGATTATGACGGTTTTCATCGGTGCTCTCCTCAAATCTCTCATTCACCCCATTTCTATCAAACAAGTTATCTTTACTGGGAAAGGGAACATCCCTGCAGTCTCAAATTGTCAGAGCCAAAATAAATTGCAAACTCTAGTAATAGAAAATACTCGGTCACAAACTCATCAACACTAGCTTAACCATTGGTCAACTAAAGTTCATCCCAGCTTGTTCACTTCAATCATAGACCTTTAAAGTGAGAGGTTGACTGGGTAGTATCTAATAGGTGGGGATGGGGAAACTGGTACCTGGACGCCTCTAGATTCACATGCCATTTATTCTGGGGCAAGCAGTAATCAAGGAATAGCAGCACAGGGTCATCACTTGCAAGTATGGGGTATATAAGGAAATTCAATAGGCAATAAGAAAGCAGACCCTCTATGTGGAGATTGTTAGGAAGGGATGAATACATTTAAAAATTATCTTCTTCCTCATAGATGAAAGCAGAAGAATGAAATTTAGGAAACACTGATGGTCCCATGATGCTACGCTCACACCAATGTCCACCACTTAAATAACTGCTCCAAGAGCATAAGGACCCCTTGGTGACCAAGATGGATACTGGTCAGATGTTCAGGCCACCAGGTTTCACAAAGCCTGTGTCAAGATTGGAAAATAGACCATGTGACTTAATTCTTTCAGATACTTTAGAACTGGAGGGAGACTAATTATGATTTTGCAGAGAAGTTGGCTCTTTTCATGTGAACACTAAGAGGTTGTTTGGCTAAGATTATAAGCTGGTCAACTTAGTTTATAATCATTTATTGGCTTATCTACGCATTTTGTAAACATCAAAAGTGCTTTTAAGCCAAAATTAGCCAAAAGCCATAAGTTGGTCACCCCCAATTTGGGTTTTACAGCTTATAAGCACTTTTGGTTTGACCAAGCCTTTTCATGATTTTGTCCCTAATATCTTTATGATCTCTGAAATACTTCCTAAAATATAACTTTTATTTATCTCTCTATTCTATTCCCGCCATTCGCTCTTTTTATGTAAAAATACTTTTAAATTTATATTATTTGTAAATAGCTTTAAGAACATCTCAGACGTTTTAACAGAAAAAGTGCTTATCAACAACTTTTTTACCAAACACATTAACTACTTAATATCAGCTTCAACACTTCTATCCCAACACGTAACTGATTATCTGTAAATCATGTGGTGCTTTTTAGCATTTGATGCGTATAAGCTACTTTTAATCAGCTAAGGCTACAAAATACCATCTCTCTACTAAAAAGGAGCCACAATCTGGAGCAAAAACGACCTAAATTGGAAGAGAGATCGCTCTGGTAAGCAAATAATTCTTTTATTTTTTATTTTTTTATTTTTTTACTTGGAACAAAAGGGAGGTTTTCCTTGTTGGAGATGATTTGAGGATGAGCAGGAAAACTAACAAAGATAGCTCTTTAATGCACTCATATGCATATAAAACTTTACATAAACGGCCCCTTTAAGTTGTCCTCAACGATCAGACAAACACTTCAATTGACCCATTTACCATTTAGACACTTCAAGTGGCTATTAAGTGTATCAAGTAGACACCTCACGTTGACATGGCAAGTTACGTGTATTTTAGTTGCATTTGGGCGCATGAGGTTTTATATCAAACTTTTCTTTCTTGTTTTCAGAAGAAAAATAATTTTATAACTGGCTAATGAAGCTCGAGTTGGATAACTCCAAAGAGTTTGATCGGATACCAGTCCCGCTTATACACCTGATTTTCAATCAAATATCCGACATCAAAGCCCTAATCTGGTGTCGTGCCGTTTCCAAACGGTGCAACTCTTTGGTCCCTCTAGCAGATTCGCTACGACGACTCCTTCATTGCCTTACTCAGATCCATCATCAAATTCCATCACCACTTCGTTTCCCAGAGCAAGCCTCTTCGGACCCGACCCGATCTCAAAACTCGCCCGCCCAAATCCTGCACAAGTTCAAGAAGATCCGGAACCTCCAAATCGAGATTCGGTCTGGTAATCTTCGGATAGAGAAAGGCACGACGATTAGGTGGAAGACATAAGTGAAAGGAGGGTTGGGGGTTCTATTTTTGGGAAGAGATGACGGAAGAAGATGGGTTGATGGTTTTGTATTTGGGAAGACATAAGTGAAAGGAGGTGAGGGGGAGAGGGAGCAGAAGGAGGAAGAATATTTTTGTTTTGGGTTGGGGGGGGGGGGGGCAGGAAGGGCGTTGGTCTAGCTCAAAGCAAGGAAGAAGTATTTTTCTTTCAATGTCTTTTTTTTTTTGTATATTACGCGTGTCAAATTTTTTATTGCAAATGATATGTGGCATTTTTTAATTGGTTCATTTGACACGTCATTGGCAAGTGTAACTCACGCACATGGTCTGCTGCACTCGAGGGTTTACTTGATAGACTTAATAGCCACTTGAAGTGTCTAAATGGTAAATGGGTCAATTGAAGTGTTTGTATGATCGTTGGGGACAACTTAAAAGGGTCATTTATGTATTTCGCCAAACTTTTAACCACCTCATGCAACCATGTGGCAGAAAAAGAGTTGTTGCACCCTAGTTGTTTGGTATGAGCAATATTAATTAGATATGCATAGAACAGTTAAAAGTTATTGTTAAGCTGGTCCCTTTTAGTAGAGAAGAAGATATAGAGTTTTTGAAAATTTTAGTTTAATGTTTGTCCCAAACGAAAGTACAGAAGGACCTACAAGGAGACATATACAAATCATAGCTAATATCTAAGTTGCTCAGACGTAAGTGCGGGTATCCGACACGAGAACGGATCCGAGAGTCGAATTTGGCAAAATCCAAATTTTAAGATTCGAGGGTGTGGATCTAGGTATGGATACGGATGCTGGGATTCAGCTAGAAAAATTCAAAATTATAAAAAGTAGAGCTATAAAGATATTCTAAATTTTGAGAGAGATTCTGGGAAAAACTTACATGTATAATCTTTCATTCTCCATGTCTTAAATTGTAAAACTTACATTATATTGAAGAAAAACTTATATGTATATTGAAAGTATGCCATTTCCCATGTCTTAAATATGTTTTATCTTTTATTTCGAGAAATCAAAATCTCAATGATTCCCCCAAATTTGTCCATGAACTCCGGTCAAAGTATTCGAAGTTGGTTGACCCAAACGTATTCTGCACCCGCACTCGTTCCAGTGCCGTGTCAAGACTCGACATCAAAAATGAAGAGTCCGCACAACTTAGGCTAATATATCCTCCTTATGGCTGAACCTCTCTTTTGGTCTTCAAGATGGCATCCTTGAAAGACAGGTCTATGATACTGCAGAGGTATTATGCATTAGAAGGACCATTTACTCACGTAAAAACAGATACCCTTGTCCTTGTAAATGAATGTAGATCATGATTACCACAGATGATGGACTTTTGTGGCTTCATTTTTTGTCTAGCCCTTGTTTATCTATTAGTTTTCAGCTCTTATCTTTGGCGCAGAGTAGACAGTTTGGTACTGCACAAGGCTCATCAACTTGAGGGCATGAATTCAAATCCTCTGCAACATCTTGTTTTTCTAATTAGCCCATGATTTTTATAGTACACACTAAGACAGAGAGTGAAGTATCTCAAAAGGATACAAAGTTTAGAGACAGAGACCAGTGTTTTAAAAGGCGTTTTCGGGGCGAGGCGCACCAAAAACGTCCCGAGGCGATGGTGTGGAGCGAAAGTCTCAAGAGGCGTACGCCTGAGCGTTTGAGACGCTTTTTTTAGTGAGGCGTAAGCCCCAGAGAGTTTTTCAAATTAAAACAAAATTTGTTGAATAAGTCTTTTATATAATACCCAAATTCTCAAAATTCAGCTTGGCAATTACTCAAAAGTTTTAAAAAGGAACTGAAATGTATTAAATTTAAAAGTTAAGACTTTTTTTATTGATTGAAGCCCCAATTCATGGTTTTTCCCAATTCTTTATCTTTTTCGCTAGTCTGTTAATATTTCCCAAAAGCAACGAATATTCAATTTGTTTTTTTACAAATACATAGAGAACTTTATTTTCCTTCATAGCAGCAAGTTCAATGTTCAAATTGAAGGTTAGTCATCCTTTTTGTTCCTCCATGTAGAAAACTTTATTCTTTTCGACTCAAGTTACTTGAGCTTCTAAGTAGCGTATAATAGATTGTTTTGACTAGTTTTTTGTGGAGATGATACCCTTGTCCTTGTAAATGAATGTAGACCATGATTACCAAAGATGATGGACTTTTGTGGCTTCATTTTTTGTCTAGCCCTTGTTTATCTATTAGTTTTCAGCTCTTATCTTTGGCGCAGAGTAGACAGTTTGGTACTGCACAAGGCTCTTAAACTTGAGGACATGAATTCAAATCCTCTGCAACATCTTGTTTTTCTAATTAGCCCATGACTTTTATAGTACACACTAAGACAGAGATTGAAGTATCTCAAAAGGATACAAAGTTTAGAGACAGAGACCAGTGTTTTAAAAGGTGTTTTCGGGGCGACGCGTACCAAAAACGCCCCGAGGCGATGATGTGGAGCGAAAGTCTCAAGAGGTATACACCCGGGCGTTTGAGACATTTTTTTTAGTGAGGCGTAAGCCCCAGAGAGTTTTTCAAATTAAAACAAAATTTGTTGAATAAGTACTTTATATAATACCCAAATTCTCAAAATTCAGCTTGGCAATTACTCAAAAGTTTTAAAAAGGAACTGAAATGTATTAAATTTAAAAGTCAAGACCTTTTTTATTGATTGAAGCCCCAATTCATGGTCTTTCTCAATTCTTTATCTTTTCCGCTAGTCTGTTAATATTTCCCAAAAGCAACGAAGATTCAATTTTGTTTTTTACAAATACAAAGAGAACTTCATTTTCCTTCATAGCAGCAAGTTCAATGTTCGAAGGTTAGTCATCCTTTTTGTTCCTCCATGTAGAAAACTTTATTCTTTTCGACTCAAGTTACTGGAGCTTCTAAGTAGCGTATAATAGATTGTTTTGACTAGCTTTTTTGTGGGGATGAAGCACATCTATATATATATTTTTCACATATTTATAGTTTTCTTCATTTTTTATGCAATTTTACCTGTTTATAAATATTTACTGTAATTATATTATTTTATAAAATATTAAAAATTAAATACCTATGGGGCTTACGCCCGTGCCTCGGAGCTTACGCCTCGCTGAGGCATATGTAAAACGCCTCACCTTACGCCCACGCCTTTTAAAACACTGACAGAGACTGAAGTATCTCGAACGGAATACAAATTTTAGAGTTTAGCTTCTCCAAGTATGAAGACCCATCCTTCCAGATTGGAAGACAGCTAAATGAATAAACTAGATTACAAGCTGAGTTAACACCTTCCAGTTCAGTTGCAAGTCTACTAGTCCCGCATCCCCAGTCCTTTTCATGGATCTCACTCAGGGCATGACATTCTGTCTTCTTACCTTTTGACACTGAGAATGTCAGCAGGACTATCACCTCAAACCGGTGTACAACAAATACATCTCCCTAAAGGTAAACAAGTTAAAGCATAATTATGACTGCAGCTGATATATATTTTCCTTCGTATTAAAAAAGCATCCATCTTTAACCTAAGGATGTTGAAAAGAAGTAAATTTGCAGATTCAGATATCTTATGATACATTATTGAAATATGTCACCTTGGAGTAATTTACAGAAATTCCAGAAATAAGTTGGAAAGACCAGTGTTTCTATGTTTCTTAATTTATATGATTTAAAAAATGTCCACATTAATTGAGACATGGAAGGCAACACTAAGCCATCATAAAAAGTTCGTCAATTTTGCAGCCTGACCTATCAGTATTGGATGAGATTTCGAAATGACTTCCAATATTTGCTTGCTGATGCATCTCATGATTGAGCCGCAAGCTTTCAGCTGGTAAATGTAGACTGGCTTGCCCATCTCTTGATCTGGTATCAACTGCTTCATTATGTTTTCCATCAATGTACTGTTTAAAGGATGGATATTCAGGCATACCCTGAGAGAAAGAAAATGAGACAACTCTTTCCTCTTCTCTTTTTTTGATAAGGTAAAGAAAATGAGACAACTCTTTTATCATGAGGATAGAACAAAATGATTGCTTATTGTTGGAATAAGAAGTTAATCCGAGCATCTAAAGGACGAAACTGATTGTCAACAATACCATAGAACCACTTGGAAGTTGATTGTTTATGGAACTAGAATGAGGTGATTCCATATCAAAAGATCCACCTCTAGCATGATGTGTCACCATGGAATTTAATTGTGCAATTTTTGCCTGTTAACAAACAGTTGACTCCTTGTCATTGTACTTGAAATAAGAATTTACAACATGGAAGCTTTTGGACTTCTTAGCAGAAAGGCAAACTCAATAACCAAAGCCTCTCAGGAAGTACTACAGCAGTATGGAATCCTGCCCAATTANCACATCAATACACCAAACCATCTGTCATAGATAGGTAAACACAAAAGATCACTCACTTTATAGAGAAGGGACAACATGTAAATGCAACAAACCATCTCTGATTATTAATGGAAGGGAAACGCAAAGGTGATCCCAACTTTCTTCTTTTGTCAAAGTAGAATGCACTACCAGCACATAGACAATGATGCTGAAATTCAATGTATTTACCTCCAACAGTTCACTGATTAGAAGATTAAATTCTGAACGGCTTTCCATGTATTCAGTAGATTACTCCATTGTTTTCCAAGAAAAGGTTAGTACATAAAGGCTTAAACCTTTCATGACCTTTTCCCTTTTCAAGACGAGTAGCTAAAAAAGCACTCTTCCAGCTTGACAAAGACAAGATACTGAAAGCTTTTGCATGCGAAAATTTAGGCCTATTCAAATATTTGACTTGAAACATGTTCAGTAAACGAATTATTATTTATGGAAAAAGACAAGCCATTGCGATAAATAATAAATCCACCAAATGTTACATTTATGTCTGGCCAACTATTTTTGGCGAACGGTGAATTTATTGCAGTCAAGAGGCGCAACAAGTGCACCACACTGTTAAAATCAAATTCAGACACATTTAGAGATTTTCAGAAGAGTATTTAACATCTATAAATAGGTGCACTTCGTATTTCAAAATCAAGTCATCAGTAGAAAACATTGTTTGCATATTTACTGGTATTATCAAAGCACTTGCAAGAAATAAAGCTTAGTTCTCTCGCTGCATTTTTCAGAGACGTTGAATTTATGGCTCCACCTTTTATTTTTTTTGTTTTTTTTTTGTGCATTAACTGTCAGTGTTTTTATCAACAGTTTTGTTTCTGGTAACAGTTGGATTTTCTTCACAGCAACTTTGTGACTGTCAAATATTTGTCACCATTTTGCTTGGTGAGTACCCGACTTCAACTTTCACTACTACTTTCTTTCTTCACTTCTCTGAGGTGACTATTCACTGTAGCATGTACTAACTTGACCACCATTTTAATGATGTTTTTTCCTACGCGTGCCTTAATTTTCATTTTTAGAATGATAATGTTAGAAAATTGTAAATATGGTAAGAATCCATTACTTGAGAATATGGAAATAATTAGATAATTGTGTAATGAGGTATAGGAATTACTTTTGAGAAAGATGAGGAATAGGAATTACTTTATTTTCCTTTTTCTGAATACTAGTAAACACTACTCAAAATCCAACAACAATCAAGCAAACTTTTTTCAATATCTTTTTTTTCAAATCATTCTTCACATGGTATCAGGGCTAGGGTGTTAGCCCCTCCTCTGAATTGCTTACAGTTACCTTTTTGATTCCTTCTATACGTCCAAAAAAATCAAAATCAAAATTAGGGCAAAACCACATAGGCCAGAACCTAGGGTTTCAATTTGCCACTCCCAAATCCCCCACCACTAAAAACCTACTCCAAACGATCTGGACCAAATCGTCCGCCTGTTAACAATCTGGACCAAATCGTCCGCCTGTTAACAATCTGGACCAAGTCCACCTAGTGACTAATTGCTTACTCCAACAACATTCCTGCTTTGGTCGAGCAATCAACAATGTACTTGATCTTCCTATAGCTCCTCGAGAGGCACTCGGACTGCTTGCATCCTTCATCCAGTTTATAATTTCTTAAGTTATCACCATTTGTCACCCCTCAGAGCATGCCTTTGTTACAAGTTCATCCATTGTCAAAATACCTAAGTCTGGCAGATACAATGGCTCATCCAGGTTAACATCACTGTAATTCATGATTATTGTACTTGGGAGATAAGTAATTTTACAAAATGGCAAAACAACTATAGGATGTCGATGGGTATTTATTTGTAAGTGTAGGAATTAATGGGAAGGTTGATCGCCTAAAAGCTAGATTTGTGGTCAAGGGATATATTCAGATTTTGTAAATCTCCCACACTTTATATTTCCTTTCAAATGTATGTTCTTAGATATCTTAGCTCTGGAACTGAGTACATAAAAAGGTTCCTCAAACCTGAAATCATGATGCTGCTCATTCTTTGCATTTATGTCTAGCCAACTATCTTAAAAATATGGCTAATGGTGCAATTACCATAATCAAGTGGTGCAATAAATGCACCACTTTTTATTTTTTTATTTTTTTTATTTTTTTAATAACCAAGAAACTCCCGAGGCCAGTGGCGCGCAGTTCGAAACTCGGTAGATGATGGGCCTACCTTCTCCCATCTCTACTTAAATACTAGGCTTTTTTCCGTGGCAGAGTTCGAACTCGTGACGTCCATCTAATCCACAAATCACTTGTTGGGCTCTTACCATGCATAAATACACCACTTTTTAAAGATCACATTCATACTCATGTGTTTCACACCTAAAAATAGGTGTACTTTATTCCAAAATAAAATCATCAATAGAGAACATTTCCTTCTTTTATTATCTCAAGGCCCGCCTCCGACTAGGATAATATGACATTCGCAGTTCATTGGATCTAAGTGTAAAGATCACTTCCTTAAATGCAACTTTAAAAATCTCGTCTCTCACACCAAAATTCTAAAAAGGTTCGAACATATGAAGCTCTTTCTTCCCCTACCTTCCTCCTCCCCCCCCCCCCCCCCCCCCCCCCCCCCAAAAAAAAAAAAACCCAATTGCTTTTTATTTCCTTTCTAATGTATGTTCTTAGATATCTCAGCTCTGGAACTGAGTACATAAAAGGTTCCTCAAACTTGAATTGGTGATGCTGGTCACCTGCATTTACAGTAATCTGATAGTCTACTGAAATAAACAACAAGCGCAATTTCCAAAAGAAACAGTATAATGCTTTCTTTGCATTTAGAGTATTCTGATAGCCTACTGAGGTAAACATCCCGCAATTTGCCAAAAGAAAAAAAAAGTATATAGCTTAGTGGAAAAGGCTGTGCTCTCTATCTTGTTTGTAAATACAAAATCATAACTGATAAGATTGTAAATGAGTCATACAATGTCAAAACCTTACATGTGAAGTTCTGATCTTCATCTCCAGTTGATCGTGTAAGTGCTGCAAAAGATTAAGAAGAGCAAAGCTGGATCAGATGTGGTACCCTGGAAGGAAGACTACAATGCACCAAGTACAATATTCATTAATGCTATAGCCTATAAGACTAGATTCAAAGTGAAAGGAAAAGGAGAAGTTTGTCTAATTTCGTCTAACAATAAAATAATGATCCTTTAAATATTGACTAGAAAGGATCGGACACAAAGGATTCATAAAGCTTTCCTCAACGTCTAATTATGATGATCCTCTGAATAATGATAATAGCATACTGGATACAAAGGATTTATAAAGCTTTTCTCAACTAGTTGGGATTAAGGCATAGTTGAATGATTGATTCTTTTGTAGATTTTGCAACCACCAGATACCTCTATAGTATTTCTTTTTTTCTTTTTATATGACGATGGTGACCGAGCCAGCTTGTGCGCACCTCTATAGTATAACAAGCTCGTTTGTTTTATTTAACATTAAATTCTGAATCAGGCAGAATTTAACAGCACAGAAGCAAAAAAGATTTCCGATCATACAAGTCTAGTTTTCCTCACAACACCGAAAAGCAAAACTTGAGAATAACGGCATTCATTCAGGCCTTCAGATTAGTCTGGCATAAGAACTCCAGTAATGATACCATCAACATCCACATGGCAGTATTATTAGCATGCCAAGCATGATATACAACAAAAGAATGATGATGGAAGTTTTAAGGAATGCTTTTGGAATTAGATATGTTGTAGCGTTTATTGCCACTATGACTGTTAAATGAATTTCTCCGGATTAGTAAAATGACAACATTTTTGTGGGCAGTACTCTTGCCAAAGCAATTTTTGACCGGCCAGAGCAATATGTCTGATACAAGTATTGTACCATGTGCCATACGTTTCTACTTTAGTCAGGCCAGATGAAAATAGTTCCGGCATCATCAAATAACCAACTTTGCAAAACTAGCAATTTAATATATTTTGCCTATCACGATACAGAAGAGCAATTAAATTGACATTGTTAAAACTTGTCACAGAGAAATAATGTGTAGCAATTAGATATATTTTCTTCAACATATAGCCTTTAATTTAATGTCTAGTGGCTGGTCAAGATGCTCAATGTGAATATAATCCATGTTAGAATAACAGAGAAGACATTAAGCAAGGGACCATATTAAAGATTTGAACAAGCTTTTTAACGAACAAGGAAAAGAAGAAGAAACTCATAAGAAACTACAGATCCACATAATCTGCACGTCAATGATGAGTTTGAAGCACTAATACATGAAAAGCATGCCGGATCTTTTAACTCCTCAGAGATTATTAAATACCTCATGGACTGTAAACAATTAGATCGAGAGAGACACATAAAATACTTTCTTATTAAAAAACTACTCTAGTCCTATGTGGTCAGTACCTTCACATTGTTGGTCAGACTAGAGGCATTAGCCACACGAGGAAAGATGCCATATTCAGCCAATAATCCAAGCATGGATGACATAAAAATATATCTGTCATTCTCTGTATCCTGAAAAAAAAAGAATAAGTCTTTCAATAAACAAAATCCTAGAGAGATATGCAGATAGAGGATAAAACAACAAACAACTACTACTACACTACTATGCCTCAATCCCAAGCTAGTTGGTTTAGCTGTATATACAGTTCTTCCAAGAAATATCTTTCTCAAAGAAGAAACCAATATTCTGCAGTTAAATCAAGAACAACAAGTGCAAAAATATTTTCAAAGACTGAGGCTTATACACCCAAAAAAGTACCAGGTATTCACAGTCAACTCTAGTGCTTACCTTTAACTCGTTGACTAATCTTAAATTTTCTTCAAGATCACCTTTCCTGCGGGCCAGTTCGTTTGAGGCAGACATTATTGCTTCACTTTGCTTCTCATCTAGCGCCTACAAGTGCAAAAATAACAACACTACAAGAATGTATAGAACAAAAAGATTAAACAAGTAATTTCAGTCAGACAAGAAAGACAAACCATGCGTAGTTCAGAAAATTTCTTCTCAAGTCCATACTTCTCATTCAAGAGCTGTGATTCCTAATAACATGGTAACAATGCAATGTGCTTAAGGTACAAGTTGAACAATAGAGTGTATTATCTCTTAAGCAAAAAGAAAATGAGCAAAGGCTAAGAAAAAATGGCACACCCGAACACTGGCAAGAGCAATCTGTTCCCGAAGATATAGAATTTCTTCCTGTTTTGCTTTAGCACGTGAATATAGCTCCTGATCACAGATTTATTCAACATTAGCATAACATAGTCTCCCTTCATACTGTAAGTTATATTCTGTAAAAAAAAGTGAAACGCTACCATAGCTTCATGATCCTGAGAGTCGCTGATGGTGTCATTTCCCATCAAATTGCTTGGTAGAGAAGTCATCCCAAAATCATGTCTGCAACTGAGATGAATTAACAGACATACACACTCGACCTACAATTTCCAACATAATCTAGCTCAATGATTACCTGCTTGCCAAATTAGAGCTTTGTCCCTGAACTCTTACATCTTTCTGCCCATTAATAGAGCTATTAGTGGGAATCATGTTAGTCAACTCCTCTCACAAGAAGAAGTCCAATGAAAAGTAGTCAATTAGGTCCAACATTATCGGCCAGTTCCTTGCATATTACAAGCTATTATGATTCACAAAATGCTTCAGCTCTTCCTCTTCCAAAAAGGACTAGCAACATATTAGCAAGCTATAAAAGTCAGCAACCAAGCTAAAGAATACATAACTGAGAAATATGATAGGTTGAAAAGAAATAAGGCAAAAGCAGCAATCACTTTATCAATAGCAGCTAGGACACGAATAATTTGATAAGAGGGAAACCCGCAGCCGCTACACTTGGTGCGCACCGGGTAAACCTCCCCCTGTGTAATAGCCTGCAAACCACACAGGGGAGGTAAACCGCACTAGGCAAGCCATGTGCGACAGGCTCAACCCAGAAGGCATTGAGGGGGATTCGATCCCAGGTCATCCGTATGGATGACCGCCCTCCAAACCAACTGGGCAACCCCGAAGGTAGCTAGGACACGAATAATAAACAGATCAAGCAATCAGCAAGGCTTCGTCAAAGGGGACTAAAAACAGTAACAGCCGGAGGAAGATTTTAAAGACAGCAATATATTTGTCAAAGTAAAGATTGAGCACAGTTGATCCACAGATGTTCCCAAGGATAAAAATGCAATCCTATTTTCAGAAAGAGAAAAAAGAGAAAGATTAATAGAACAGCTGTTCATTTTTATTTTCTTTATGGAACACTAGTGACGGCTCTTTCATACATGTTTTTTGTGATATTTATATATTTAACATGAATTAATTTCTTCTCCAACACCCACCAAAAGACCTTTCTTGGTATTCTATTATATGCTTTCTCCAAGTTAATGAACACCATTTGCAGATCTTTTTTCCTCTCGCGATAAATTTTCATCAGTCTTCTTAGCAAAAATATAGCTCTCATTGTAGATCTACTGGGCATAAAACCAAACTGATTCTTATTCACTCTTGTAATGTCGCTAAATGTACGCTCTACCACTCTTTCCCAAAGTTTCATCGTATGACTCATGTTTAATTCCACGACAGTTGGCAAAACTTTCAATATCTCCTTTGTTATTATAAATTGAGATCAACGTACTCCTCCACTCGTCGAGCATCATTCCACTGCATTAAACAGCTTGGTAAACCACCCTATTCCAAGATATTTCCTAACCTCTATGAAGATACCATCTGGACTACAAGTTTTTGTAATCTTCATATTTTTCATGGCACCCTTTACCTCAGCTGACCTAATTCTATGAGTGTAACTAAAGCTTCTATCATGTACAGATGTATGTATTGAACAATTGATCAAAATAGCCTCTCCATATCTCATTGGTCTCCCTAACTTTTGTTACAAGTCATCGAGGATTTCTCCTCGAGTTTTATTGATCGTTTTCTTAGCTCCCTCTTAGCTCTCTTATACTCTTCAAAGACTACTCCATCTTCTGTTTCTGGTAATTTCCTATAGCACTCTCTTTTAGTTTTAATAAACTCATAGCACCTCCTCATTCCACCACCAGGATTCTGGTGGTCGAGGTCCTTAACCTTTAGACACACCTCGATCACTTCACTTGCTACTTTTTTAATTGCAAACTAATATTTCCTTCCACAGGATATCTACCCCTCCCCCATCTAAATCTCATGTTCCTTCCTCTCATAATTTTTCTTAAACCGCTAACTAGTTAGCACCCTTTAATGCCCACCACCGAATTCTCGGTTGCTTACAACTATGCATATGAGTTATACTTACCAAATTCATGTTAATTGTTAGGAAAAAACTGAAGCTTTGATTATCACATCTTAGTAGTAACTTTTATCACAGACCCTTTTGCTGCTTTAAATCAGAAAGAAAGAAAAAAAATCTAAACAAAAGCAGAGAAAAAAACTCACTGAAGATTTAAGAAACTGGCACAAACTAAGAGAATTATTAGCAAAAGCATTGAAATGGGTATATACAAGTAAGCTCGACCAAAAATTCATGCAGAATTAACAACAAATAACAATCAAAATCCCTTTACATATGCATTAATAAATCACAACAAATTGAAAATTGCAATCTGGAAAGGTTACCTTTTCTTATGTAGAAGAATACGTCGTCAAGAATAGAAAGGCTTTGAATCTCAGATCAATCACTTTAGGAAAAAAATATGAAGAAAAATTGGGAATGAAAGAGAGACGAAGGTGCAAAACGTTTTAATTCTCCAAAAAGTCAAAATGTGGGTCGTTGGAAAAAAGTTTTAAGTAATCCAAAATCACATGAAGAAATAGAGACCGTGTGAACATGAGACCCCCTTTTTCTTTCTTTTCTCTTTTATTTTTTTGGATTCTAATAGACCCGCTTTTCATTTCTCTTGTTTGACAAAAACCGGTCTTGAAAATGGAATAATTAATACTAGAATAATTAATGAAAAACAAAAATCCAAAGATTAATAAAGGAAAATGATTATTTATTTTAAAATGTGTTTGGTTGGGATAGAAAATATTTATAAAAGAATACTTACTTTTTGAAAAATATTTTTTAGAAAATATTTTATGGTGCTTGGTTGGAGAATAGAAAATATTTTTTTTAAAAGTTATTTTATTGAAGATTGATAAAAATATTAACAAATTGAATAGGGTTCTTATGGAATAATTGAGTATTTGATACTGATAATAATGTTAGTGTTGATTTTAGTAATAATATGAAGAAAAATTGAGAATTGAGATAACATGGAGAAATTAAAATCAACAATAATAAGTTAAGAATTAAAATAGTAATTGTAAAGAAAAATGACTTATGCCCAAATATGAAGGAAGTCATTTTTTCTCATTTTGGTTAAAATAAATTCTTTAAAAAAAAAGAATTTTCTCACAATCAAACGCAAAAGCCTCATTTATGTAAAAATATATTTTTAAGAATATATTTTCCAGCACGCCAAAACACAAAAGAACAAAGTGATGGGGCTATGAATCAATTTTTATTTTGTTGTATTTTATTTTTTGTTTGTTTTTCATGTTGTGTGCGGTATTCACGTTGAGGTTTGACTAAACTCGTATTCATTCGGGAAGTTTTACATTGAAGAGTAAAGCACTTTTTAACAAAGGCGGTTCCAATTTTAGTTATACCTTTTTTCTTTTTCATCGGGTGTCCGATATCTGTATTAGAGTTCAATTAAATTGAATTCGCCCCGAAAAACCCTATATTAAGGAGTAAAATACTTCCTAAAAAAAATGACTTCGTACCCAAAAATAGAATCGAAAACCTTTAATTAATAATAAAAAAAAAATACTTATCACTCAACCACAATTTTTCGCGGTAATATAATATCATACATAGTTACATATACATAGTATGTGAAAGGTTTGTTTCGTTTCCTAATGGAAGTGGACTTACTATTTGAGTTTTAAGATAAGAAAATGGTATATAATGTGTTTTTTGGCTCTAGTGCTGCCACGCAGCCCCAAACGGTCAACTTGTTCTCTTTAGTCTCTCTCTTTCTTTTTTTTTCTTTCAATGATTACTTTACAATTTGACTTTTCTGTCAGCAAGTTAAATGAACTTTTAACATTCAGAAGAGAGCAGGAAAATTCTTAAATGCGTGTCCAAACAAAGGAGCACATGAAACAGGTAAAACATTATGAGGTCGTTTGGTTCAAAAATAGAATTATTCATTGATTACTATAATTTTGAGATAATAATCGAGAAAGATAATTTCACCTTTTATATGAAATAAATAATTTTATATTTTTAATAAGTATAACTTTTATTTTGATTTGAGCTAATACCTACCATTAATTACTAAACAAATTTAATTTCGAATTTTATATGGAGATAACCCCTAATCCATATAACCAAATGACCCCTCACAGGAAGAAGAATTTTTTAACTTAAAAGATAATGTCACCTTGCACGGTTTTGCAAGAAAACAAGTTAAAACCTCGGTAAGTTCGATTCAGTCTTTTAATCTTAACTAGTGTTAGAACCCGTGCGATGCGCAGATAATTTGACAGAGTATTAATTTTATAAAATTATGATCTAATATATTATATTATTTTAATAAATATTAGTTATATTTTATTATTTAATATAGTGTGCAGAAATATAACAAAATCTATACAAACTCAAAGGATACACATCATATAATAACAAATAAATTGTTTGTTCCTTATTTATTCTTATCATCAAATTAGCAAGTAGTTAATACTATACATTTACTAATGTGACTTTTTATTAACTTGTCAATTTACTTAATATTTTGATACTACTTCTCTTTTAATATGATATAGATATATATTTTTTTACTCTTGAAATATGCTATATAGTTTTTTAAACTCATGTTATACTGTTTAAAATTCTTCAATTATCTAAATTTATTGATAATGTATTTGAGTGTTATTTATTTATCTTTTATTTTTTAATCAATTAAAAATATAATTATCATAAAATCATCTTTATCCCCCTCTTTTCATACATTCTTTTCTACCATGATATTTGATTAGTTTCTCATTTTGTAGTTTACTGAAAATATAAATAATGTAATATTTTTTACTAAATTATAATTTTGAATTCATCAAAAGTATAAAGAATTATTAATAAATTACCAGTTTAATATAATACAATAAATATAATTTTGTATTACTCTTGAAATTTAACTTGACTTTATCCTGTATGACTTTCTCATAGTTATTTTGATATTTTCATTTATCAATAATATTTTCAAGTATTATTTATTTACTTAATTTTATCAAATAAATTTAATGTGAGGATAGAATCACATTATATCTATTATGCTCTTTATACATTATTTTTTGTTCTACAATATTTTGATTTTTTCCGTTATGTTTATCTATAATACGAATATAATTGTATTATTTTTCTAAATGGATGGTGTTGAATTATTTTAAAGGTTAAACAAAGAAGTTCTTTTAATATATGTCATAAATCTTAGACTTTTATTCTATTTCTCAGAATTATTTTATTATTTGAAATTATCAATAATATTTTTGAGTATTATTTTGATGGTTTATTCTATTTCTTAAGTTAATTTACAGTATAATTATACTCACACTATCTCTATTTTTCTCCCTTTATATATCATTGTGCATTATATAATATTGTAGTTTACTTTTTCAGATCGTATTTTACTATAACTCAAAGAGTGATACATCTTATTCTAAATTTTAAGGATTAATACTATGATGACCCAAAATGTCATCTTTAATTTTTAAATATTTATTTCTGTATTATGTGATCTCAAAAAGCACTATTTATTATTTCTCATATTATGTGCATAGTTCGTATAATTTTTTGAAAAGTTTTTGTATGAAAAATTGATTAAAATGTGAAATAGAGCTTTAAAACTCAATTAAGTTGACTTTGATCAATATTTTGAGCAAACAGACCCGGATTAATATTTTGATAGTTTCGGTAGATCCGTATCGTGATTTGGGACTTGGGCGTATGCCCAAAATCGAATTCGGGGGTCCCTAGCTCAAATTATCGCCATTTAACGGAATCCAGAAATCTAAAGACTAAAGGTTTCCAAAGTTTGACCACGGATTTGACTTTATTGATATCGGACTCGGATTGAGATTTCGAGAATTTGAATAGCTCAGTTATGTCATTTATGACTTGTGTGCCAAATTTGAAGTCATTCCGGACTCATTTAATATGTTTCGGCACGAGTTTTGTAAATTAAAAGTTTGAAACTCATAAGTCTGAATCGAGGTATGATTTGTAATTTCGATATTGTTTGACGTGATTTGAAATTCCGAGTAAGTCTGTATTATATTTCAGGATTTATTAGTATATTTAGTTGAGGTCCCGAGGGCCTCGGGTGTAATTCGAATCATGATCGGCGTATTCGGAACCATGAAACTGCTGAACCTGATACTACTGGTTTCCTTCTATGCGATCGCGTGACTATGTTCGCGATCGCGAAGGCTTAATGGTCACTGATGAAATTCGTACTATGCGATCGTATAGTGCAGTCTACGATCGCACAGTTGCAACAACTAAATCACCACGAATGCGAGGGCCAAGCCGCATTCGTGGAGAAGGAATGAGGCAGAAGCTGAAGCACAAAATTTATGCTACGCAATCGCACAATGCAGTCCGCGTTTGCTAGAGCACTATCGCGTTCGCGAAGAGCAAAAACTAGGCATCAAAAAATGTGCTTTGCGATGGCGAAGCATTGTCCGCGATCGCATAAGGTAAAAACCTGCACAACAGAACTTAAGTTCTCGAAATGAGATTTCGCCCGATTTTTCATTATTCACAATTTTGAGCTCGGGTAAGGAGATTTTTGGGCGATTTTTACGGGAAAGTATTGGGGTAAGTGTTCCTTATCCTATATTAATTATATTTCATGATTTCATACTCATTTACATCATGAACCCGTGAATTTATGGAAGAAAAATCAGATTTTTATAAAATCTTCCAAAAATATAAAATGAAGATTTGAAGGTTAATATGATGTAGGAATTGGATAATTTTTGTATGGTTGAACTCGTATCGAAACGGGTATTCGTATTTCGTGAGTTTTTCCGAGATTTGAGACATGGGTCCCACTGTCGATTTTTAAAATAAATTTCGGATTTTAATCCAGAAAATTAGTAAATTCATATGGAATTAATTCCTATGATTTATGTTGAGTATATTGAATTGTTTGTGACTAGATTTGAAGATTTCAGACACGAATTCGTGAGGCAAAGGTGTATTGAAATCTTGAGTTGGTTGCAAATCGCGGTAAATGCCATGGTTAACCTTGACTTGAGGGGGTAAGATTTGTTTGTCTATTTGCTACGTGATTTAATATGCGGGTGCAACTTATATGTGAGGTGATGAGTACTTATGCGTTGTGGTTGAGTCAAAGCATGCTGGAGGAATTTATTTTATTTTGAATAATTGCTTATTTAATTAAGATATTCCTGCTTAAGTTTATATTGATTATTTGATCATTATTCATGAAATTTTTATTGATTTAATTATTGTTGAATATTGTGGAAGAGTGTAAAAGCACGAAGGGTGATGTCGTGCCATTTATATTTTTTATATAATCATTGTCATGGTTAGAAAGAGTATAAAAGCACGAATGGTGATGCCGTGTCATTTTGAGTGTAAAAGCACGAAGGGTGATGCCGTGCCATTTTCAGAGAGTGTAAAAGCACGAAGGGTGATGCCGTGCCAAAATAGAATTAAAGCACGAAGGGTGATGTCGTGCTAATTATTATTATTTATTTATCAAATTATGGGAAGAATGAGA